TATTTACATTGTAGAAAGAACCAGCATGTTTAGCATCAGACACATAAATGGAAGTTGCCTGGATTTGTCCAAACTATGTAGCATTTTTCATGATGATAAAGTTACCATGTTTCATACACATACATGCACAAGTCACATCTGTAATATGGGTTAATTCTGCAATTCTGTTGTCCGCAATGCCCCTCCACCGCCAGCTACAAGCACCTGCCTTGAAGCATAACCTATGATTATATATTTACTTTCACTGAGACTGCTTCATTTCTGCTTTGACCTTCATCTTGTATCTTGACCTTGCAGAAGAAGAAAAAAATCAACAGGAGAAAAGAATAAACATGGAATACAGTGCACAGAAGAGTGTTTGTCTAATACTGACTAGAACAAGAAAATAAATAATGTGAGATGTTGAGACAGATGAGACAATGCACTGTAGACACTCAAAGCCATTATATTCATGCATACAATTATTATATATGAGTGGTATGGTTTTCAGGTATTAAGTACCACTGAGAATATTTAAGGTTATGCTTGTCATTTGGCTTGTCCCATATATTACTGGGGTTCTGTATGTTCCGTATTTAACTTAGCGGATTCCCCCCAACCCCAAATAAAAAAATATTACCAACTCTCTTTTACAGATCTGGAATAGTTTATGGGAATAGTATGTCGGTCCACAGCGAAAAGGTGTTCAAGCTATGATTCAAAATGGCAACTTCGGAGGCCTGTGTATTTGTGATAGGGAAACAATATGCAATTGTTAAGGGATGAGCAAATCTGTCAGTTTCAGCTTCTCTTGGTATCTCATTTTTTCCAGTCTTAATATTGGTTCTCCACATTTCCATAAAGTTAGCATCTTTAAAAAAATTAAATAAACCCATGAAAATTCAACAGCATTTTAGTGTAAAATTCTCTGAATATACCTGTTTTTGTATGCAGTTCAACTAATATACATGTTTTTGCAAAGCAATTTTCCCTAATAGGAAACCTTTCTACATTATTTTAACTAATAGATATATATTGGTGCATACTATACACTGCTATATGCATTTTTGTACACATTACTTGACCGGAGAAATGCACTACAAAATTTGGAGAAGCACAAATTTCAAAGAATGACTGCATTTCAGAAAGTGCGTGATAGGTAGATTCACCTTTAAATGTGAAGTGAAGCCAATTTGCCCTGTATCCCTAGCTAGAAGTCTGTGTTTTTGAATGGGGTCACAATCTATAATTAAAAACAGGTCTCTGTTCTTAAATGGGGAACAATGAATAAGCCACATCTGTGATTTTGAGTGACAGGCGATATAACAAGAGCGCACAATAATGTTTCAGGGGCTGTGAAAATCCCATTGTGGCAAAATGCCATATCTGCTTTTGCAAATAAGTGGACTGAACATGTCGTGCCAATGCTCTGAAAGGTGAACAAAAATAAAAAGGGAAGGCTTTGCACATTCCTAAAAGCAGACAGTATAAGGTATGATAGCATGTGAAATCATTCAATCTACAATTTAGAGTAGTAAAGCTAAAGAACAGGCTTATTTTTAAAAAGGATAGTAGGGTAAGAGAAACAGATTTGAAAATCAAGCGTTAGGGAATGAGTTTATACACTACAGACAAGTCAAGAGGAAAACATTAGGCAGGCAGGCAGGGCAGGAGGGGAGAAACTCCTACAAGACAAATGACATGTTAGGCAGAATATGCTCTATGTAATATTAACAATAACTTTGCCTGTCACACACCCAAATCCGCAGCAAGCCACCTTGCCATCTTATATAATGTTACAGGATGGCAAATCATTTTTTTTTAAGCAGATGGAGACAAGTGGTGGATTTTGTCTTTTTGGTTTCAAAACAAAGAATGCAGGGAAGACTTTATGGATTAGAAACAGAGTTTCCCCCTGTAGAGATGACAAGAAAGCATTCAGAGGGGATTTTGTGGCATCTTTATCTTCCTGACACAAATGTAATTCAGTTCAGCCTTGAAAGCTGCTAGCTTTGGCCTGCTGCCTGCCGCACTTATGGGTTATATTAAGGTCATGATGAATACTGCAAACCCATGTATTCATTGCACAGAATAAGACTAGGATTTCTTTTTTAAAAAAAAACCTTGTTTTAGTTATGTTCTCCTACTCTTTCTTGTTATCATGATTAGTTATTAATCTAGTTTATTAATTTCATTTGAAAATCCTCTGATGAACTAGAGGAGATTACCAGGTGCTTGCCACACAGTTAATGGTAGTAGCAGCAGGAAACGATATTTGCCATTTGGCAAGGGAAAAGAGACGCAAGCGGGCAGGACCAAAAGTAGACCAATCACAATTAAAAAAATGGTGGTTTTGTGAGCCTGGACATGGAGAAGGCACAGTTTATCAACTTTGGAGAGGATTAGGGAGACCGTAGGGCTATGAAAGCTGACTCACCTACGATCACTAAGAGCAGCATGTCTGTAGTAGAGATATTGACAAACAGAATCTAGCTTCAGAATATTTGCTTCAAGGAGAAAGTATGCATTACTGAGCCACTTGATTCTTCTCCTGTTTAGATTGAAATCTGAACTAAAGAAGAATTCCCAGTTAACAATCTGACCCTAGAAAAATGGTCTGAGGGGCAAATGTCCACCCTTTGGGGTCCCTCATGGAGGCAATTGGGCTTTGGTTTCCCCCCTCTAGTTTTCTGTGGAGGTCTAAAACATAGCCCTCCTTCACCACAGAGCCTCTTGGGTGTTAAGACTAACAGAGGGTGCCCACATGGTACTTCTGCCACCCTTAATTTTTTGTGGGTGGTGGTGGCCCAGGAAAGTGCATTCTCCATGGCAGCCCCTAAATTGTGTCTCCCCACAGAGGTGTGCCTAACACCTCCACTATACAGTTTTTGGTGAATGCTGAAAACATACCTCTTTGACACCTGAGATGTGTGTCTTCAGGATCCACCCTACTCCTGCAAAAGTTGCTTTCACTGCATTTAACACTGAATTTTAAAGTGTTGAAACCTACCCTGGACCTGCTGGTGAAGGGTGGGTGCTGGTAAAATAATAATAGCAGCTAATAATAATAATAATAATAATAATAATAATAATAGCAACAACAATGTGGCAGAGACGCTCATCATTGTTTTGCTAGGATGTTGTGCTTACGACAAAGGTCTCTTGAGAAGTGCAGACTCTTGTCTCTCATTCCTAGTTCCCCATGTTTTTTCTGTGGCTTTGCTAGAGGGCTGATTGGAAGTGTTTCCCATGGTAAAACTGTGTGTGGATGCTGGCAAAGCCCACCGCATGGAGAATTTTGAGGGTGCCCATTGAAGGGCTGCAATGGAAAAAGGGGGGTTCGACACCAAAAGGCCACCCTTCTGAATTGTAAAAGTGAAGTTTGACAAAAGAATTGTCAGTCTGAATACATGACACACCTTCTTCAGCAGGAGAGGCAAGTGTGTCATGGGTAAGATTCTCCATTTACTGAAGTGTCGTGTCATTGCACACATTTCATTCCACAAGTTGGGATACAGTGGGTGTGCATAGCATTTCATACTGTTGAATGGTGCCCAGTGTAATTATTAATGTCAACAATGGATTTACCCTGACAGATGTAAAGAATTGGAGGAATGATATCCTAAACATCTTTCATCATTACCAAAATCCTGTCTAATTGATGATGAACAGAACAACTTCCATACTAAGCACACATCTTATGCTGTTTAGCCCGGATTTTCGGAATCATTAGGGTCTGATGTTAAGACACTTAACATCAGGTGGGGTGGCTTTAAAATATGTTTTTGGCCCTACTTCAAAAACCCTCTGGTGAAAACTATCTGGTTAGGTTGGTTTTGGATTTGGTTCAAACTTCAGATGTTATGACTGAGCTTTCAGCACCTTTGACAATAATAATACATAACAGGCAGACAGGAATTTATTTGGAGAACATCAGGCCAAGAACTGAAATTGCAGTGAGATGAAATGTGGATTTCTGCACATCTGAAAAGCACTTGTTTTAATTTCAAAAATCACTGAACAATGTGTGATTCTGATATTGACAAAATGTTGAACCTGCCTGACTTCAGATAAATAGAAGCTGTTCTACATGGGGGTTGAATTGCATACATTATTCTTAACTAAGGTAGCAAAATATGTAATTTATGTCATTGTGATATGAGGACCCCTCTATTTTATTAGTGTTTGAAATTATATGAGAATTAGGATGTTAGCTTTTCATTTAATTCAGTTACTTATGAGAGATGGATGAGATTGTTAAAAATATTTTTTGATCTATCATTCTTTCCCCCCTTTTTAACCCATATTGCTTATGCAGTCTAAGGATGTAATACTAAGATAAAGATTAAATGTCTGGGAGAACACAAATCTAAGCATTTAATTTTCTTCCTGGTTCTTCTGTCCCCCCCCCTCCCCTTCATTTGATTATTCTCAAAACAACCCTGTGCAGTAGAGCAGGCTGAGAGTACTAACTGGGACAAGGTCAGTCACCCCATTAAGTTTTGAACCCACTTCTCTCGGGTTCTAGTCCAACTGCTGAATGTTCATAGAAATTCTACTTTTTCACTTAAGGTATGACAAACTGATTCACAGAAAGCAATGTCAATCCGGGAAGTGCAATAGCCAGCCAGCAGATACTTGGAAGAAGCTGAGGACGTTTACTATGTTATTGAAATATAGATTGGTGACTTGAGCTGTTAGTGCCTTCTTTTGAAAGAATTGTGTTTTGCATCTTTACAAGCAAAATGTTCAGCTAATCCTGATTCTTAACTCACTTTCCCCCTGCTTAAAACATCAGACATGATGCATCTGAATCACCACCTGGGGTGAGCTAGCCTGTCATCAGGAAGTGAAGAAGCCAATTTACATTTGAAAGCTCTCTTAGCCCTTCCCAGAGAAGAAAGTTGTTCTTTGAAACAACACAAGGACCTAAATATATTCTTGATGACACACTGTTAAGTGTTGACACCTTGTTAACGCCAGTGGAGTGCCACCAGAGATCACATTGACCCAAACCATCAAGGGAAACAGATAAGCTTGTGAATTCAGTCTAAAATAAATGCAGTTCTTTTTTTTTCTTTTTCTTTTTGAAGATGAAATGAATTGCTGTTATAAAACTAGAGAGGGTAGAATTATAAAAAATCAAGACCTTGGCACATGGAGGAATATAATGATGTTGTGATGTTTCCTATTGCATTGCTGTGTGAATGCATCCTAAGTGAGCATTCTCTGGGGCCCTGGTTCAGCAGTAGGACTCATGCTTCACATATATAAGGTCTCAGGTCCAATCCTGGACACCACCAGTTCCAGGAGCTCTGGCAGGAAAACTGGCAGAGACCCCTAGCTGAGACTTCAGAGATTCAGTGCCAGAGTAGGTGGTGATCCTGGTCTAGCTAGATCCAGGTAAATGTATGCAGTTTCATACATTGGGTGGTGGTGGTGAATGCCCTCTGTTTTCCCATCAGCTTCACGAGTTGGCAACATTATCAAATTTATCATAATTATATTTGTGGTGTAGTTTAAATGCAATTTGATTGATTGGATTACCACAGTTTGTTTTAAGCTGCCTGCAAGTAACATAAAATAGGTGGGATATAAATATTTAACTGCATATATAAGCTACATGTGGATATTAAGTTTTTGGCCAAAAGGCTTTATTCTCTGGATGAGCAATAATTATCTGGCACATTGCTGGAATGCAACAGTTTTTAAACACACACACACACACACACACACACACACACACACACACACTTACTTTAGAACTATTTCCAGAGCTGCATAATTAGTTATAAAATTAAACACAGCTTTAATTAAGGAGGTTTACCAGGGGCTTTCATAATTGCTGTACTAACAGTTTTCTATCGTACTACACTCACTGAAGCAATTCCACGAGGAATAACTTGCACTGGACAAGCTAGCTCAATAATAACAACAACAATTTGAATTTGCATATATGGTCTTTCATGGTGCTATGCAAATCCTTACTGAGGAAAATCGCTCACTGATGCAATTTATCCAGGAATGGGTTTATTAATAAAATAATCCCTGAAACCTTTTTTTTAGATAAGAGGATTTTTATGAGCGGCTTTGCAAAGTGCCCGGGGGGTGGGGGGTGGGTGGGCGGGCAGGATAACATTTGTCCAATTCCCAGCAACATGACTAGCTTGTTTGGTTTATTTGTATTTAGTTAGAGATGTGCAGCCTTCTCCAAAAACCTGCATTAAGGAGCAGGATGTACTTCAGTGGTAGGCAGTGGCAGAGGAAAAAGAGTGCAGAGTGTCTCAGCAATACAGTTGGGGGGAAACTTAGTTATTTTTCTCAGCTATTTGGATATTCTTCTGATGTTTTGCTTCATTTGAGAATGTTGCCATGAAGTGGCTCCACGTTTTAGCTTTGTATGATGTATAAAGATAATGCAACCGTTTCCTGAGAAATGTCACAAAATTTCAACAGTATTTGCATTTTAACTACTCCCATTGCCCCGTGAATCATCTCCTACAGGTCACACTGTAGGTTCACTCATATGCATGGGCATAGCCAGGATTTTTTGGGGGGGAAGAACCTCAGATTTGTATAGAGTTATATTGCTTTTTATTGATGGGGAGCAGCTGCCCCCCTGCCTCCCCTTGGCTATGCCCATGCTCATATGACAGGGCTACAACAGTCACTAGTTTAAAGGCAGGAATTTGTAGCAATATGTTGGAGTGTGATTGATTTCCCTCTTCTGTCAAAGGGAAAGGAGAAGAATCACACTTCATATACTGCTGAAGATGGCCTCCTTTAAAGCAGCAACACAGTCCCTCACATTCGCTCAGGAAATGCTTTGCTTAGCTCTGGCACCTCTAAGGCAAATACCAATTGTCATTCTAAGAATAATACCTTTATTGTCAATGTACAACCTGTGTACAATGAAATTAACCAAGCCTCCCCCCCCCCCACAAACACTCAAAGGAGAAGTTCAAGGTGAGCTTCAGCATCTCATTCTAGCACTGATTAGGAGGGCCCTGTTCCCTCCACAGAGATACCATTTCCAGAGCCCCCTATCACTAGGGATTCATTATTAAACTACTCTGGGGATTGTAGCTCTGAGAGGGGAATAGGGGTCTTCTAGCAACTCTCAGCACCTTTAACAAACTACAGCCCAGAATTCTCTGTGGGAAGTCATGACTGTTTAAAGCCCTTTAAATATATGGTGTAGATGTGGCCCGATTCCGGAGGAGTCCTAAGTCATGATGTACAGTACTGAATATGTTTCCTTAAGGGTGTTTTGGGGGGGGGAGGGACATTCGAGGTGGCCCCTAATAAGTCATATAAGTAGCCACGCTTGCAAAATAATGCAGCTGAATTTGCCAAGAAGGTTGCTGTGAGACCAGCCGTCAATGGCCAAGCAGCAGCTCTCCATATGCTTAGTTTATGATGCTTGAAGAGAAAAGTCCTTGAACTCCTCTGCCCTTCCTATCACTGATGGTGTTTCCCTTTCTGCTTTCACTTTTCAATAGAAAACTATTTCCCACACATGTAAATAATTGGCCATCTCAGCATTGTTATTATCCCCCCACACACACACTTTTTGTTCTAGTCTTTCAGATCTCCTTGACATCCAGCCATTTTGGGATAACCAGGGAACCACAAGAAAGGGAACACCCAGGCAGGTCTCCGTCAGCTGTTGAGGAGTCATTTCAGTTGCTGCTGCAGCTTTGCAGAACTGAAAGTTCGACCAAACTGCTGTTAAGCTGCTGGCTGCTGGTACAATGTGGGAGTTTTGATCCATATATATATTCACTTTATGGGTAGTTACTTTACACTGGTATTATCTTTCTTTCCCCCCAAGCTGACAGTGTGTGTATCTGAATGACTGGTACTTCTGGGAATTCTTTGAAAGGAACGTTATTATTCCTCATTTTATGGCGCTATAGGGAAAGGCCTCAGCTCATTGGCAGAGCACCTCTGCTTTGCACGGAGAATATATCTGGTTCAATAGCCAGGTAGGGATGGGAATGTCTCCTGCATGGAAACATGCAGAAGTATTGTCCGTCAGTGTAGTGTACTGAGGTAGATAGACCAATAGTCCAACTCAGTAAAAGCTTCTGTGTTTATAGATTCATAGGACAGTCCACAGATTCATAGAATCATAGAGTTAGAAGGGACCCTGAAGATCATCTAGTCCAACGCAAATATGCAGCTGTCCCATGCAGGGATCAATCCTGCAACCTTGGCATTATGAGCTCCGTGCTCTAACCAACTGAGCTAGGTAAAGGTACCCCTGACCATTAGGTCCAGTTGCGGATGACTCTGAGGTTGTGCGCTCATCTCGTTCTATAGGATGAGGGAGCCGGTGTTTGTCCGCAGACAGCTTCTGGATCATGTGGCCAGCATGACTAAGCTGCTTCTGGCGAACCAGAGCAGCGCATGGAAATGCTGTTTACCTTCCCGCCGGAGTGGTACCTATTTATCTACTTGCATTTTGACGTGCTTTCAAACTGCTAGGTGGGCTGGAGCTGGGACTGAGCAACAGGAGCTCACACTGTTGCGGGGATTCGAACTGCCGACCTTCCGATCGGCAAGCCCTAGGCTCAGTGGTTTAGACCACAGCGCCAGCTGCGTCCCTAACCAACTAAGCTACACAGGCCTGAATTTGTTTCCTTCATCCTCTTCTTGAATTTGGGAAGGAGAAAGAATCAGAATTTTGATGTATTCCCCATTTCAATTCATATATATTTTGCATCAAAACAAAGTTGAGATTTGGGAGGTTTTACTCACACAAAAATGTTGTCTGTCTCATTGCATGCCTTCCTCAGGTTTAACGTTAATGAAGTCTGATGCTGTATACTATTTTATGGTGGATATGAGTAGCCTCATGACCATGTGTAGATCTTGGCCAGCTGCAAGGTAACCAAACAGGCACAGGTTTCTTGTCACCATCTCATATTTAATTCTAACGATCAGATTAATATCTCATCCCCTATGCATAGAGTAGCCAATGTGCCGCCCTTCAGATGTTGTTTCACTACAGCTCCCATTATCCTTGATTATTGACCATGTTGACTGGGGCTGTTGTAGTCCAACAACATCTTCAGAGCACCATGTTGATTATCCCTGATATATATATTATCTTCAAGCCTATTATGCATTTAATTGAAATATAAATAAATGGTTTTAGCAAGAAATTGTGGGCACTGCCTTACCCTTCCCATTGGTGCTTAGTAGGTCTCTTTAGGAAAACCTGAGGCATTCTATCCAGTTCACACTGTCAATTCAATGTTCATTCTGGAATTGAAACCAAGAATGAATTCATTGTGAGACTCACCTAGATGCAATGCAGAACTTACATCAGATGCTATGTGGTTGTCTGCTTGGGAAAGCTCAGCATTTATAGAAATATCTTCTTAGACCAATGTGCCTTTCCAAGGTTCTACCCAGTCCCTAAAACATTGAGGCCTTTTCCCTTGAATCTGTATGTATCCCCAAAATATATACAGTGAGGATGTTTTGACATAAGAAACAGGCCTCTTTCAGTACATGTGGATTTGTTATTTTATTTTTACTATTTATTGTGAGATGATGGCAACATGAGATCAGGAGGTCTCAGCCTCCATGGATCCTGATACTGCCCTCTGCCATGCCTTAGCTCATGACAGTAACTCTCCCACTTATTTAGCTTCTTCTTGCATGAAATGGCAGATTGCTCTGTAACCTAATGAACCTAATGAACATGATATGACATCTGTACGGGAGGATAGTACAACATCCTGCTTGGAACCAGGTTTAACCATGCTTCAGTTTAACATATGTCTGCCTATGTGGAAAGACCCTAGAGCCACAGCTAGAGACAGATGCATAACACAGAAAACACAGAAAACTGAATAATGTCTGAATAGACACCTGTAAAAGCCTGAGGTGAGCCCACAGCTGCCTGTGAACATCTTATCCCAGCCAAAGGAGGCTGACAGCCAAGGGACCCTTCTTTAAAACAAGATATATTTCTCTCTCTTAAATCTTCTGCAGATAGGTGCTGCTTGTTTTGAACACATGCTGATGTGAAAAGAATTGATAATCAGGGTTATTCTATCCTTTTGGTGAAGGGAATTCTAGGAAATGTAGGAATTCTAAATTCTAATTCTAATTCCTTTAGAATTCCTGCAAAAATTTTGTGCAGAAGTACCAAGATCTGTGCAGATGGGATGGTGTATCAGAGGAGGTTGTGCTTGGGAGATGAGATGCTAGCATAGGAATAGCACAGGAAGGAAAATGGTAACAAGAAAACATCTATGGATATTTGACCAGAAATTATGCAATATATTACAGTGGATAAGTGAAGGAATATTTATGTATGAATGGTGGTATGTAAATGCCAACCATTGTCAGAGCATGTGTGTTGAAGATTTGCAAGATATACTTTGAAAAATCAATGAAAAACCAGTGAATGCTAGCAGTAATGAGTGCCAACTTTTACATGTACAGAAAATGTGGCAATGTATACATAGCTTTGGACGCTGACAAAATTCATCATGGTATTGTCAGCATGTGACTCTTGAGATTCACCAGATTTTGGACTTCCTCTGTAACACAAACTTTCAACTGCAGTAATAATTATGACATTGGGTCGACTGCTCCTGGAAAGTTTATTCTGTAGACATGTAATTTGCTAGTTTGGAAGATTAGGAAGTCAAAAGTAGAGGCATCTGTATTTTCTTGCTAAATCATCCATGCCCCAATGTAAACATTATAGAAACACACTCCCATTCACAATGTCTACCCTTCCTCTTTATATTAGAAATAATTGAAAGACGGGACCTTTCTAAGGCTCCAAGAAGCTCAAGGGTGGAATCTTCATTTGTTGCCTTCTTCCTTCTCTTCTCTGTTGAAATGTACCATTTGTCAATGTCATTATGGCACCCTCCATGTTTAAAACCTGGGGAAATGACCCCATCACACTCTTCCCTGCCAAAAGGGGCCTGAGTTTGCCTTGCTAGACTGCAGACTCAGGCTCCAGTGTCTGCTTCCAACAACACCAAGATTACAATGAGCTTAAGAGACTTCTTGGAGCCTTTCAAATTATTGTGCTGCAGTGGCCATTGTATAGACCCACGGGAGCCCTTCATTTTAAAATTCCTATACCAAATGTGGCCGTTTCTCTGCATCTGACTTTTAAGTGTCTCTCTCCAGTTACTTCTAAATCCTCTTAGCCAGAGATAGTTCTATCTTGGGACTCATAACACTATTCCTGAAGAATCATTTTCATTTGTTTTGCCCTAGAAATCCACTGTCCTCCCTTGCCCATTTTCGCCAGTGGAAATTATTTCCTTTATAGTTTGCAGGTAACTTCCTTATTGGTTCCCAGGCTCTGTACTTTGAATCTCAAATGTTTCCATTTCCCTTCTCTGGGAAGCTAAAGAGTTCAATTTGACAGAATATATAGGCCTGCTATTCTCATTATTCTTGTTTCCCCTGTATTTAAATTTCTCCAATGCTGTCGGCTACAGCAAGCTAATAATCCTTCTGTGATTTTTCAGCATAACATTTTAGTACTGGCCTTTGTTAGAGAAATGAATGTATTGGGTTACTCTTGAGAGTTAAGTAAAAGGGGATGGTTTATCATCATAAAGTTTCAGCAAACAGAAAAGCACATAGTTCCATTGCACTATATTGTTTAAACAGGGTCAGTCTTTCAGCTGATATAAACAATAGTCTTGAAATAAAAGTGTCAGAGGAGAATGCACGGATCTTTATAGGATTGCATTCCATAGTCCTGAGAAGCGAAATATTAATCAACTGGTAAAATTCAGCTTCATGCCTTTTGTTGAAAAATGAATAAAGATGGCATGTTTTTCTTCTTTTTCCATCTAGGGGGTGGGGTCTTTCCAAAATGCTATTGTGTGACCCGGATGCTAATGCAGTACCTTCAAGGTACCTTTCCACACTCTGCTGAAGAACCTCTGCAACCTGCCTAGTTAGCTGAGATTGATGAGCACTGCAGCCCAAAACAGCTGGAGCACACCTGGTTGGGGAATGTTGGCCTAGACTCAGAATGGGGTGATGTAGAAGGCTGGTGAATATGATATGCAAGTATTTTTGAAAACTGGCCACCCAAATTATCCAGAGAGGCAAATAAGGTTGCAGGTGTGAAATCTTCAAGTATGGCAATTTCTCACAATCAGTGAGACTGGGCAGAAGTAACCATTTAGCTTTTCGCTGTTCCTGAAGTGCAAAGTGACCTGCAGTCATTTATATATTTATGTTTCTATTTTTTGAGTTGTATTTTCTCTTCATATCATCGCCTTAGTTTCTTTAAAATCTTTTTTTTTGGGGGGGGGGGAATTTGTTCAATTAAATGTGTGATTTACAAATAAATAAATAAATAAAACAGCCTGATAAGCTAGGTGTTTCGAAAATTATCTATATTAAGCTAGTATTAATAGTAGAAATGCAGGTAATGTAGCAGGGAAGAGATAAACTACACTACAACTTAATCCCTATTGCTAGCCCTTCATTGGTGGTTACTTAAATGGAATGCTGTAAATGTTTCCTCAAATTAATTAAAATACCAGTGGAATGATACTGGGTTTTTTTTACGATGGTGGAGTTTCCCCAAGATCAAATAAGACTGGTTCAGATTAAGCAGAAATGCACACACACAAGTATACACACACAGAGAGAAATAGTTTGGTTTAGCTCAGTCTGAGCCCCTTGAAGTCAGTTCAGTTTCCTTCATGCTCCTAGAGAGCCAGTGTGGTGTTGGGGTTAAGAGTGATAGACTCGTAATCTGGGGAACCGGGTTCGCGTCTCCGCTCCTCCACATGCAGTTGCTGGGTGACCTTGGGCCAGTCACACTTCTCTGAAGTCTCTCAGCCCCACTCACCTCACAGAGTGTTTGTTGTGGGGGAGGAAGGGAAAGGAGAATGTTAGCCGCTTTGAGACTCCTTTGGGTAGTGATAAAATGGGATATCAAATCCAAACTCTTCTTCTTCTTCTTCTTCTCCTCCTCCTCCTCCTCCTCCTATTCAGGAATGCAGTGGGGTCTGATTCCTTACCCCAATGAGCCTCCAAGTTCCCTCACCTCACCTACCTACAATCTTATTTGCCCCCATTTCTCCAACCTCCCATGAGCCTCCAACTCCAACTCCAATCTCCTGCTTGGGTGCTATTCCAGCAGAGAAATGGAATTGAATTATTCCCTGGCTCTGAATAAAATCTAAGACAGAAAGGGACTATGGGGGTCATAATGCTTGCCTTATATCTGAGTGAGTTGTATGAGTTTTATCAGGAAGAAATCCAAGTCTCATTGAATTTCTAATATACTGATACATTTAGGGAAGCAGCAGGGTTAGACTTTCCCTACAAAGTCAGGATTCCCATTCAATAAACTAAAATATAGCATTCCTATAAATAGAATATTTCATCACTTGCCAATGCTGTGTATCTCTTAATATTCACTGGAATTGTCAACTGTGTCTTTCTTTGGGAGGTCTTGGGGGTCTTCACATGCAATTATTATTTCTGTTTGTTTAAATAATTTTTAACCTGCTCTTCAGCCAAAAACAAGCAAGGCTCCAGAACAATTTACAAATATCAGTAAAAAGACATTTCCTAGTCTCAGGTTTAAACTTGAAAAGACTCCATACAAAACGGAAAAGAAATTGGGACACTGGCTGTTTATAACAATACAGTAATTATAATATAACAATATGATAATAACCACTATATCTCTGAAACCTCTGTGCCTTACACAGATCAATTTTTTTTGTCTGATGAAGATTCTCTTGGTCATACAGCTTTGGTAAGAGGACAAACTGCTAACATTCTGTATTTTATGCAAGCGTTAAATGCATAAGTGCCTCAATCTGTTTTGCATAATTATTGTAATTAGCAGTACAATCCTATTCTTGCCCTCTTGGAATCAAGTCCCTTTCCCCCACCCAGTAAGTGAGTAAAGGATTGTGGGCTGAGTTCCAAAAACTTTACAGTCATGTGTGTACTTCCAGTTTTGCAGCTATTTATGATCAAATGCTAAGTATCCCATTTGCAAGCATCTATTTATGCTTCTCTTCTTTAACATCCAACCGTACATGGAGGTTTGGACAGTAAACCTAATTATATGAAATTTTACCTAATGAATCGCTTATAAGTGCTCCTATTTTTCACATTTCATGGCTGACAAATGAAAATTAAAATCTGTAAAAAGTGCATAATGAAATGTTAAACCCATAAATACTCAACGCGCACACAGCTACTATAATCTGAAAAATGTTTTCAATAGCACAATTTCCCTGGGCATGACACTAATTGCTTGCTGTTGTGGCTGTTTGGTTTTATTCAAAGGAGTAAAATGATGAAAATGAAACTTTCAGTCAGTATTTGCAAAAATATGTGTGCACTCTCACTTTTGCCAATTGCAGAAATTCTCTAAAAAGAGTGAAGCAAACAGATCTCACTTTGTTTAGTGTTCTATTCATTCTTCAGGCAAATGCTAACCACTATTCCACTGAACAATGAAATCTTTGCATTCAAAAATGTAGTTGTGACTTCCATTTATGAACAAGAACATTATTGCAAGACCTGCACCAGAACAACAATATAAAATACAACTTAAAATGAAATAAAATCACAACTAATGTGGGTCCTAAAATATATATAACTCAGGTGACAAAGAACAAGGTAAAGACAAAAGCTGAATAATGAAGGTGCCAAGTATGAGGGAATTCTGCACCTTGTAGAGAAGTATGCCTTCTCATGGCTCCCACCACCCAGACACCTGAGGATGGTGGAACTAACAAGAACCCGCCCCTCTGCTGATCTTATCATCTGAGGTCTGTAAGAAATAAGGTACTCTTTCAAATGTTTGGAGTTTAAGTGATTTGGGTTTTTAAACACCTAGTGTGAACATCTCAAATGTTTTCAAATAGGTAAAGGTAAAAGGTAAAGAACCCCTGGACAGTTAAGACTATGGGGTTGCGTCGCTCATCTTGCTTTCAGGCCAATGGAGCCGGCGTTTGTCCACAGACAGCTTTCCGGGCCATGTGGCCTGTATGACTAAACTGCTTCTGGTGCATGGGACACCATGAAGAAAGCCAGAGTGCACAAAAATGCCGTTTACCTTCCTACTGGCATGCTTTTGAACTGCAAGGTTGGCAGAAGCTGGGACAGAACAATGGGAGCTCATCCCATCGCGGGAATTCAAACCGCCGACCTTCTGATCGGCAAGCCCAAGAGGCTCAGTGGTTTAAACCACAGTGCCACCCACATCCCAATAGTGGGTATATGAGTTCAAAGGGAACCCCAGCTACTAATCTGACCGCTGCATTTTTGGCCAGTTGAAGTTTACGACATGTCTTCGAGGGCAGCTCTAGTGTATGGCAATAATCTGATCTGGAAGGTATCAGAGCATAGAGTAACAGGACCAAGACATCTCTGTCTCAAAGTGGCCATAGCTAGCAAAACTGGAAATAAGCACTCCTAGCCACTGAGGCCACTCCAATCCCATCCAGGACAGGCTGTCTCCACATCGCCTGGACTCAAAAGCTTGGTTGTTATGTTTCCTTGTGTCCTTGCATTTAGCATTTATCTTTCGGTCATATAAAATGACCTATGATTAAGTCCCATTGAACTCAGTGAATTTTACTTCTACACATGAATAGGACTGCACCGTCCCATCCCTAGAGAAGGGACTGCACATCTGGAACCATGTAAATCTCTCACTTTGTTATTGATGGCCAATTCAAACATGCATTTACATCTCCAGTGAGTTCCAGCTCTTCTCAAAATAATGTTAAAGCTCTGGTGCTTGTTCTGTGTCATTGGGCAAATGGTGATTGAAAACTGCAATAATCAAGCTAAATCTGCAACTGACTAGTAGCAGCTTATATACCTAGCATTGTTGTGGATGTCACTGTGTGTTGTGAATTGTCACTAGATGTTCTAGGTGCTGATCATCAAGAAACCTGCTACCAAATGAAACATCCTTATTCAGCTGCATATGTTGAGACCTGTGGGTGCCTGTTATGGTCATTGTTAAATGCTATTTTATTAATCATAAGTGATCGCATCTCAGCAGCGTACACAAGACTAGGTCAGATAACTTCGCATTAGCCTGTTTTATATTATTTCACCTCCTTCTGTGGTTACAGACCTGTTTTATTCTGAACTATTCAAGTCATAACCACACAGAGTTTTTGTTAAAGGCCAAAACTGGACATCAAATCAGGTGAATTGGAAAACGTTTTAAGAAAAACCACTAAAATCAATGTATTTATCACCATCTAGGTTGGTACACTACATTTTGCCCTTTTTCAAAATGCCAAGGCCTTAAATGTAATTGCTGTGAATGAATATTTTTTTAAAAAATGATATTTATTAAGATTTCAAAAAGAAGGATTACATAAGTAAAGGAGAAACAAAAACAAAAACAAAACAAAAGACAACAGTAAAAATACAAGAAAAATACAAAATACAAAGTACAGAAAAAAAAGAATAAAAAACACTTAAAAATACATCAGTTTTTCCATGCCTTACATTCATTTGCTGTGAATGAATATTATACATGACAGTATTTACTAGCAATATTTTTTAATGTTGGTTATGAAGAAAATGAATAGAAAATCCTAGCGCAAATAATAAATTGCCTACTGTATATAAGCCAGAATTATGGACAAAACAGGAAGATACCTCTTGAAATAATGCTATGCTTCTAATTGACTTCTCTTTTTTCAGATTTCATTTTGAATTTCACAGAGAACACACAATTCTTCTAAGAAACTAAACATGTCAGCAAACTTCACTGCTAGGCAAAATGGCTTAATTCTAGTGTCTACTTTGTTCTGTCCCATTGCTCTTGTGTGTGGTTTTTTGTTCTAAAAGTACACTATAAAAATCCTGATCCAAAAAGACATTTCTAAATCCACTTTTCAATGAGGACTGTTGAAAATTAGCTTCAGAATTGCACCCTTTGATTATGGCTTTATTAATGTGGCCACTGATTGCTTAAAGTGTATCAAAGAACAATGTTTCTTATATTGTTGGTTTATTTCTATCTCTAAGAGGAGTGATGCTTCTTCTAATGGAACATGTGTAGCCAAATACAGCATGTATTTGTGCTGGTTGAACTTTTTGAGAGGTCTTTTCCTGCGCAGAAAGATAAATAAATTGAGCATTGGAAATGGAAATGGCTTTCTTCCTGGCTTTTAGCTTATTTAGGACTTGGTCATCTTGAGAACGTTACTGGTAGTTGCTTAATTTGTACACAGCATAATATATTCAGGGAGATGGCTTTTCTGTTCTTAAATATTCTGGTCACAGCTGCCTTGTAGTTGTCTACCTTATATAAATTTCAGCCTGCCTCAGTTGAAAATACATATTTGAGAACTGAATGACCCGTTCGATTGCCTAACACATCTTCCTGCCGTAATTTAAGTCTGCACTTGACCATCATCATTTTTGAAAATAGACCTTTTCTAATCATTAGATTTCAAGCATAGGTGTGTGTGTGATGATCATAAAGTATGATTATGGCAATTTCCATGCTGGACCTCATTACTCTGCAAAAAAATCAATAGCCAGTGCCATTTGAATTTGCTGACTTCAGGTGTAAACTGTACCTCTTTAATGAGATGGAGCTTTCTCTTTGAGACCTAAAGCTCACAACAAGACAACAATGGGTTGGATACAGACTTAGTCCTGCTTATAGTAAATCTATTGAAATCAGTGGGATTTTACAGATTGGAAACTCATGCTGAGAAAAAGTGGAATGCCTAAGGCCATCACACTAGACTGTGAATAAGCTGAACAGAAAGCTAAAACTAAACTTCCTCACTTGGTATCCATCAGGATAGGAGTTGTAGCCCAAAATTTCTGGATGGCACCAGTTTGAGGAAGGCTACATTGAACCATATTCTGTGTGTTATGAGGACAAAAGCGAAACCACACATTGCATACTTTCTTCTTGCTCCGCCCCCCATGTGGCCGTACGAAAGAAATGGAAATTTCTGCTTCCATTTTAGACAGTTTTGGGTTACCTCTCGGCCCTTAACTGTGGTTTATCATAACCACAGCTGGGTGAAACCATCTTCTTAATATATGGTTTGAAGTAGACTTCTTTCCACTAACCATACCTAAAAAATTAATTGTAGCTTGTCTGGGTCCAGATGACACAGCAAGCTGTGGTTAATCTAAGATGTAATGAAAACTTTTGAACTCCTTCCATGACTTAGCTGCTAGAATACAGCATTACATCCAAACTGGACTTTTGTCTAAGGGTGGCGGTTTCTATATATATATTCTGTTTGGCATGGATTTTACAGCAGCAACAACAAAAGGGGCTGCAGCAGCCCTTCTCGGTCCTTGAAAGCTGAATTCTGATTGAAGGATTGTATGAAATCTCCTTTCATACTTGTGACTGTAAAATGTGTATCCTGCATCCATGGTGGATCTCTGCTAATAGCGGTCCAGGGAAAGCAATCTTGTCTAATTTGGGAGCACTGGTGGAAGAAGGCTTTGAATTCTTCTCCGGAACCCCAGATTCAGCCAAGATTCCTGTATTCACATTGCTCATAGAAGCACAGAGAAAGCATTTTGTGTTTTAATGGAGAGAAGGATGGTTGGGTGCAGGACAACAGAGGCATTCATGGTCAGTTCCAGTACCTCTTTTTCTGGAAAAATAGCACTGGTTGGGTGTGGTTCCTGAACATCTATGCCCCCATTTAATCATGTCTCTCGCCCACGAAACAGCTGTCCTCTGAGGAACATTGACCTGGTGCATCTGTCTCCCCATTTAAATCAGGGTGGGTGGGTGGGTGGGTGGGTGCGTGCACACATGTATAAAGGAGGGGTGTGTGCATTTGTGTGTGAGAGAGTGGATGTGTGTGCTTGGATATGCATATACCTGGCTCTGGCTAGCATGTGGTTCCTGAACCTCCTACCAACCCCATTTTGCCATCAGTGCCAAAAATGTGGGAAACTCCTACTTTAGGGAAGGCGTCAGAACCACCCCCTGCCCCACATGAACTGGGTCCCAGAACTTGTGTGCGTACAGCTTCCTAGTTGTATGTTACTCTTGATTTACATGATATTGTTTTAACATTTAAGGGGATCCAGCGCCAAGGGCCTTCTGGCGGTTCCCTCATTGCGAGAAGTGAGGTTACAGGGGACCAGACAGAGGGCCTTCTCGGTAGTGGCGCCCGCCCTGTGGAACACCCTCCCTTCAGATGTCAAGGAAATAAGCACCTATCCTATCTTTAAAAGACATCTGAAGGCTGTCCTGTTTAGGTAAGTTGTTAATATTTAATGCTGTATTGTTTTTAACACTCGACTGGGAGCTGCCCAGAGTGGCTGGGGAGACTCAGCCGGATGGGCGGGGTATAAATAAATTATTATTATTATTATTATTATTATTATTATTATTATTATTACATTTCAAATACATTCTAGTAAATCAGTAAATCACATAACACTGGTCTTGAAAGACCTACATTGGCTCCCAGTATATTTCCGAGCACAATTCAAAGTGTTGGTGCTGACCTTTAAAGCCCTAAACAGCCTCGGTCCAGTATACCTGAAGGAAGATCTCCATCCCCATCATTCTCCCCAGACACTGAGGTCCAGTGCCGAGGGCCTTCTGGCGGTTCCCTCACTGCGAGAAGCCAAGTTACAGGGAACCAGGCAGAGGGCCTTCTGGGTAGTGGTACCCTCCCTGTGGAACGCCCTCCCACTAGATGTCAAAGAGAAAAACAACTACCAGACTTTTAGAAGACATCTGAAGGCAGCCCTGTTTAGGGAAGCTTTTAATGTTTAATAGACTATTGTATTTTAATATTCTGTTGGAAGCCGCCCAGAGTGGCTGGGGAAACCCAGCCACATGGGCGGGGTATAAATAAATTATTCTTATTCTTATTCTTATTCTTTGTTCATTCCTAAAGGTTATCCCCCTTCTGTGATATCCTTCTTCCTTTTCTGATTCTCTATGGAGTAATTCTACACATGCATTCCTTTGATTCTACAAATAAGAAGTTGTGGTCATAAAATGTATTACATATATAACAAACTATTTACTTAAGGGCCAATTGTTTGTTTACTGACTGTGAACTTGTACGTGAAACTGTTAATCCTGGGATGCTCTAGTAAATAAAACAGATCTGAAAATAAACAGATTTTAATGAATAAATCTATAACGTTTCAGGAATTACTGTGGATTCAAAGCTTTTTACGAGGCACTGGAAACAAAAAATAATGGAGTGTTTATCCACAGTTAACCCAACAAATAAGGTTTACAAACATCTGATATGTGTGGAGTAGATTCTTGGTTACTTAAAAATTATGGGACTTTGGGGGAAGCTATGGATGTTTGCTAAAAGAAAAAAGCATTAATAAAATCGTGTGTTTTTGTTCGTTACTGGAGAACTGACTAAAACTGAAAAATGCTACTTTTCTTGGAAATATATTTTACTGGAAAAAGAAGATGATGGAATTGCCAGTTTCAACAGCCCATGAAACAATTGAAGCAGTTATCCTGGGTTTTTTTAAAAAGAAAAGTTTGAGAATAGAGTTCAACAAAATAACTCTCACTTGGAAGATCAATGAGGAAAGGAGGGGGGAGGACCAGGTGGCTGGGGGTGAGAAGCAGGTGTCAAATTATCTCTAGATTTGAACTGTCCATGAATAATTCAAAAGCATCTTCTTTTGGCAGATGCCCAAACCACCAACTCTCTACTCTCTGCAGATTGTGTGTATAGCCCAGACTAGGAAAAATATGTTGTGATATTCATGCGCTGTTGCTTTGTATTCGTGTCAAAATAGATTCTCTTGTGCCGCATAAGAGTTGGTGAGACAATGTTAGTTGCAAACAAGAGTGTTGTGAGTTTGGTATGGGTTAGGCTGTACACCTGATTCTCTTCCAATTCCTGGATCCAGCAGGATTCAATTGTTTCGGGGGGACAGGGGGCAGGAAGGTGTGAAGGACTCCCTGGTCCAGAATGGGGTAACTGTGCCCCTGAAGGACCAGATGTGCAGCCTGGGAGTCATTTTGGACTCACAGCTGTCCATGGAGGTGCAGGTCAATTCTGTGTCCAGGGTAGCTGTCTACCAGCTCCATTTCGTACCCAGCCTGAGACCCTACCTGCCTGTGGACTGTCTCACAAGAATGGTGAATGCTCTAGTTATCTCTCACTTGGACTGCTGCAATGCACTCTACATGAGGCTACCTTTGAAAGTGACCAGGAAACTACAATTAATCCAGAATGTGGCAGCTAGACTGGTGGCGGCCGCCAAGACCACATACCACCAGTCTTGAAAGACCTACATTGGCTCCTAGTACATTTCTGGACACAATTCAAAGTGTTGGTGCTGCCCTTTAAAGCCCTAAATGACCTTGGCCCAGTATCCCTGAAGGAGCATCTCCACCCCCATTGTTCAGCCCAAACACTGAGGGCCTTCTGGCAGTTCCCTCATTATGAGAAGTGAAGTTACAGGGAACCAGGCAGAGGGCCTTCTTGATAGTGGCGCCCACCCTGTGGAACTTCCTCCCATCAGATGTCAAGGGAATAAACAACTATCTGACTTTTAGAAGACATCTGAAGGCAGCCCTGTTTAGGGAAGATTTTAATGTTTGGTGTTTTAATGCATTTTTAACATTCTGTTGGGAGCCTCCCAGAGTGGCTGGGGAAACCCAGCCAGATGGGCGGGATATGTATGTATGTATGTATGTATGTCTGTACGGTATGTATAAATAAATAAATAAATAAATAAATATAAAATAATAAATAAATAATAAAATGTTGGAATAGCCATGTCAGCTTATTGATGAGCTAATGGCCCCCTAAGTATTGATCATTAGGGTAACAAAGGAAGCAGCTTTGTGCCAGAGGGCAAATGGGTGGGTCCCCCGCCCTTGCTTAGCTGTTGGTGAAAAGGACAAGGGCCAGAGGTTTGAGAGAGAGAGAGAGCTAGAGTAGGAACAAGCAGAAGCCTGAAAGGGAGAGGCATGCTTGATTTCCAGGGCTATGGCAGAAGAAAGACCCTCTTGGGGTGCCAATGCTGTGAGCCCCTCCAGCATAGACTCAAGTTGTATATATGCATAAATCAGAAAGACAACACAGTCTCTGTTGTGCTTCATTCCAAGGAACCTGAACCCTCGGTAAGTGCCTGGAACCTCACACTGTGTGATGACTGGGGTGGCATGAAACCCAGCTCACAATTATATTAAGCAGAGCAAGATGCCAAGAGCCCAGCTCTTAATATAGCAGAAAAAACATGGAGAGATGGGGCATAGCTCATTGGTAGAGTATCTGCTCTGCATTCAGAGCTCCCAGGTTCAAACCCCTAGTACCTCCAGGTGTGGCTGAAAATGTACCCTGTCTAGAAGTCTGGAGTGCTGTTGACAGTCAGCGTAGACAAGACTGAGCTGGAGGGACAGTGGTATGAGTTAGCTTTCTGTTCCTATTTTGCTTGATACCCTTCCCTGTATAGCTTTGGACTTCTGGAAGCATCTATTTGGCCACTTTTAGAAAGAGATAATCGACTAATTGCACCCTTGGCTTGGCCCAATAAGATTCTTTTTTTACTTTCTTAATTTTAACATGCACCTGTGGAATACAATAAGCAGAAGAAAGGTGTTCCGCAACCCTGGGAGTATCTTGGGGGTTGGATTAGATGAGCCTTGGTATCCTTTCCCAGTAGTGATGTATGGAAGTGAGAGCAGGACCATAAAGAAGGCTGATCGCCGAAGAATTGATGCTTTTGAATTATGCTGCTAGAGGAGACTCTTGAGAGTCCCATGGACTGCAAGAAGATCAAACCGATCTGTTCTTAAGGAAATCAGCCCTGAGTGCTCACTGGAAGGACAGATTGTGAAGCTGAGGCTCCAATATTTTGGCCACCTCATGAGAAGAGAAGACTCCCTGGAAAAGACCCTGATGTTGGGAAAGATGGAGGGCACAAGAAGGGGAGAACAGGGAGAAGGGGACGACAGAGGACGAGATGGTTGGATAGTGTTCTCGAAGCTACCAGCATGAGTTTGACCAAACTGCGGGAGGCAGTGGAAGACAGGAGTGCCTGGCGTGCTCTGGTCCACGGGGTCACGAAGAGTCAGACACGACTAAACAACAACATCCTTTCCAACTCTACCATACAGTGGTGCCTCGGGTTACAGATGCTTCAGGTTACAGACACTTCAGGTTACAGACTCCGCTAACCCAGAAATAGTATCTCGGGTTAAGAACTTTCCTTCAGGATGAGAACAGAAATCGTTTGGCAGCGGCGCAGTGGCAGCGGGAGGCCCCATTAGCTAAAGTGGTACCTCAGGTTAAGAACAGTTTCAGGTTAAGAATGGACCTCCAGGGGGGGCCACTAGGGGCGCATTGGAAGATGGCCGACAATAATATCTCTCTGACCCACATGAGGTAATTAAGAGGCTGTGATGGGAGTAAGCAGCCTCCCGCCCCCCCATGTGAGTGGGGGGGGGGACTGCCCTTGCCTGCTGTGCCCTATACCACCTCCGAACTTGAGGGGATGGGGGCACTAGGCAGAAAGCCCTTGTGTGGACTTCAGCGCTCCTGGACGCTGTCTCTGATTCGTGCCTCTAGCTGCAGCAACTTCAAAAGAAACAATTAAGAGGAAGCTAATGCACATATTTCAAGGAAGAATGGGGAGTAAAGACTGCTAATTGAAGAGATCTCTGAGAAAGAAGACGGGTCGGATAAACAGGAATATATCATGAGAAGACACACCAAGGCTCGGTATGTCGGCAACGGGACTGGATGGGGGGGGGGACTTTCCTTTCTTTTCTCTATGTGATTAACCAAGAATCCACCCCCCACAAGTCAGAAATGCCGTTTAAATGACCTAAGCTGATGATTTATGACTGTGTGGAGATAATTTTCTAACCAAAAGCATGTTTTAATGAGATCGTGGAAAGTATAAGAGCTTTGGGATGACGCAGTAAAAAATAGTATCGCCATTTTGGCAAGTTCTGTCGAATGACTTATGTCTGTGAGGAGGAATGGATCTGTTTTCATATTGTTGGCGAGCCTCCTCAGAGGGACTAAAGAAGGCAACAGATTTGCTAAGATTAATGATGGAAAGAGTGCTTTTATTTATGGAAGTGATGATATATGGAAACCATCTCGATATGGTGATTGGATGAACGGAAAAATTCACACAGGATTATAACTGGTGTTTACCTGTTTAAGGAGATTATCAGAAGAGATCATAAAGAAAAAAGAAAAATATATGAATAAGATGAGATGTGGGAACGGCAAGATAGGACTGGATAGAATTATGAACATTATTTGGACAGATTTGTGGATATTAACGCAGCAGCAAGATGATTGGAATCCCCTTCGGAACTTGAAATATGGGTCCCCCCAACAAAAAATTTAAAATTCGGCTTTGTAATTCGGAATTTATGTGATGTGATTTGATTTTATTTGATTGGTTGGTTAATAAAAATTATTTTTTTTTAAAAAAAAGAATGGACCTAACCCAAGGTACCACTGTATTTCACAGAATCATAAAATTGCAATGTTTCAAGTCATCAAGTGAGCCTTAACACTCAGATCACAGAGCACAGATCCTGTGAAGGTTTCACAAGCAGGAGGAAACAGTAGCAGCTTTCTGTCGCATATAATTCCTAATCCACATAAGCATGATTATTATGCATTATGATCTCACCTTGCCTCTATTCCGTCTTCCCCCGCCTGTAATAAAAGCATCCTTTTCATTTTGTTTGAAAGGAAGGAACATTATTGAAATGATGGCCTCCTTGATAATTTGGTCCTGAGTAGGTGGCAAGCTTCATAAATGACCTTGAAGTCTCAAAGAATGCTGTCACCACCAGTTTAACAATTTCCCAGCATCATTTCATTCCTCCTTTGATCTTATTCACTTTTCCCTGCAATCTATTAAATGCTCCATATGAAAAATGAACAGACTTTTAAAAAGAAAAAAGTTTGTGTTATTATACTGCTGGGTTTTACCTGAATTCCGTCTTTCACTACAATAAGTTTGCTTAGAGTAAGGGTAGCTAACATGGTGCCCTCCAGTTGCTGCTGTCATCTAGCACTCATCAGCCTGAGCCAGCAAAGCTAATGATCAGGCATGATGGGAATTGTAATCCAAAACTTCTGCTGGGCACCTCGCTGGCTACCCGTATCTTAGCAGAGAGTAGTCACACTGTTAGGATGTTACTTTTCTTCTTTCAGATTCTACTTCCTTTCATTTT